CGGGAACATCAATAGACTACAAAATGGTGGACAATTTATTATCAGATACAGACACAACAACTCATTCGTTAAAACATTTAAAGGAAGATCAGATAACTGCCAACTGGAATCATGTTGTGTCGCTTCAGAGCCAGGGTTCCATTGTTAAATCAGTAACAGAGGTAATATCACCATCGCGAATAACACATTGGTCAAAACAATTAGATTTGGTTTCAGAAACTCTCTACAAATTTGCCAGGAAATATCTTATACAGCAATTGCCGACCAACGCCAATCTGCTCAGATGGGGAAAGACACACGATTCCCTATGTCCTCTTTGCGGCGCTCAACAAACTAACAAACACGTTGTGTCCAACTGTGGATCGGTTGTCGCGTTAGCAAGATATACTGAACGTCATAATAAAATTTTATCCGAGATCGTCAGTTGGTTAAAGACATGTCGACAGCCGGACTGCCGGATATTCGCTGATATCGTCTAGGAGGGAGTCCTGCCAATATCGCAACTGTTCGACACTCTTCGTCCAGACATCGCCATTTTGCGCGACCACAAGATTGAAGTCATCGAATTAACGGTGTGCCATGAAACAAATCTGATAAAATCAAAAAATTACAAACAATCGAAATACGAAAATAACTTGAAATTGTGTTTATAGGCTGACTTTAAAAACAGTTTAATTGTTTTGAAAACATTTGAAATCACCCCGATTGGCTTTTTTAATGTTTTAAACTTGTCTCTAATTAAAAATTCATGGCCGATTACATTTATTAACAAATTAACTTATACAGTTATTAAATCGACGTATGCCATTTATTGCGATAGAAACAATCCGTAACCAATTTGAATATTTCACCGTTTTGCACTTGTCATAGATAATGAGCATTGTGGTTTTATTGAATATTATTACATTAGTATATATTTTAATTATTCTATTTTCTTCCATTCATTAGATTGACTTTGATTGAAATAAAAGAGTTTCCATTATTATTATCATTATTATCATTATTATTATCATTATTATTATCATTATTATTATTATTATTATCCTCATTGTTATTATTATTATTGTTATTATTATTGGTATGATTGTAAGCGCCCTTTAAAGAGATCTCAGAGGGGCTAACGATTTTTGCAGTGCATTGCTTAGCGCTTTACTGAGGGAGTGCAATGGATGGAGAGGAAAAGGCATTAGCACGGGTGAGCTTGGACAAAAAAAAGATGGAGTTTCAACTTTCCAAGAAATTGAATAACAGACAACTCAGGATCTATGTACATTTGTTTATGAGGATGTGTTTGAACGTGCGTGTGTGTGTGTAAAAGCAGGGAGAGTGTGTGTGTGTTTGTTTGTTTGTTTGTGTGCGTGTTTGTTTGTGTGCGTGTTTTTTTGTTTGTGTATGTGTTTGTTTGTGTGTGTGAGTGTGTTTGTATGTGTTAAATGTAGTACAAAAATGTTTAAATAGCGTAGGAACTGTCGTAGAATGTTAAGACGATGATAATGATGGCGATGACGACAACGAAGATGGTGATGATGATGGCGATGATGATGGTGATAATAATAATTATTATTATTATTATGTTGAAAAAGTGATGATGAAGATGATGATGATGATAACTGATAATGATTATGATGATAATAACAGTGATGATAATGATGATAACGGTGATGATGATGATGATGATAACGGTGGTGGTGATGATGTTCATTTTTATACGATTAGGAGTATGAGGATATGATTGTGTGTGTACGTCAGCTCTTTCAACATTTGTTTAACGAATAAACAATCGCATGCTGCGATAGATGGATGGCTGGATGGATGGATGAAAGGATGAATGAATGAATGAATGGATGAATGCATGAATAAGTAGATGAATAGATGAATGAATGAATGAGTGAATGAATAGAGAAATGAATAGATGAATGAATGAAAAAATGAATGAATAAATAGATAGATAGATGATGGTTGACGAAATAATAAACGGATATAAATGACCAAAGAACAGTTGAAGAGATGAGTGAATTAATGAATGAATGAACCAACGAACGAACGAACGAACGAACGAACGAACGAACGAACGAACGAATAGTTAAATAGATGAAACATTATAAAAATGCATGATGAATGTAGATGGATGAATAAAAATTAGATAAATAATTTAATTAAATCAGATCAAAACAATTTATCAAATTATTTCAAAAAAAAAATATCTGAGACAAATATGAGCCACAAATTAATGGCGTTTTAAAGAAATAATTCAAATTTTAACGTTCAAATAACGTTATCATCATCATCAGTTATCATCATCATTATCATCATCAACAACAACATCGTCACCATCATCATCGTTTATTATTAAGAAGGCCAAGTGAATGACTCAAAAATAAAATCTTCAATAGAGTATGATGTAAATAAGCAGGCGATATATTCCATGTTATTTATGTACATGGAAGTAAGTCGTATCACAAACTGGGTTTCAGATATATCAATTTTGCATCTCTCTCTCTCTCTCTCTCTCTTTCTATGTGTGTGTGTGTGTCGGTGTTTGTGTGCATATATGTGCGTGTGAATACTTTACTGTTATATTTATGTATACATTAGATTGTATTAGTACAATTTTTACGGCGGAATGTATGTGTGTGGTAAGGAGTTAATTTGTGTGTGTGTGTTTGCGTGTGTGTGTGTGTGATTTATGTGTATGTGTGTGATTTATGTGTGTATGATTCATACTTATGATCTTTTGCAGTAGTTATTTATGCGTGAAGTGCGTGTGTGTTAATTTTTATTCAATTAATTTCTTTTTCATGTTGAATGTTAATAATAATTTTATTTGGGTTAGAGCATTAAATTAATGATTATATTAATTTGTAATTAATTTTAATTCATATAATTAGTTAATTAATTATATAATTTATTTATTTATTGTAATTTTAAGTATTGATGATAGAAGTGATCTTCAGTATTCTTTTAATATCATAACTGATTTGATTTTTATTATTAATAATACTGCTATTATTATTATTGTTGTTACTGTTTTTATTATTATTATTATTGTTGTTGTTGTTGTTATTATTATTATTTGCGCCTTGCATTAGAAACAGTTTCATTATTGATATAGAAATATTTTTCGTTATTCTATTTTTACAGAACAAAGGAATGCGAAAAAATCATTTAATGAATGAATGAACAAATGAATGAAAATAACGAATGAATGAAAAAGAAATGATGAGATAGAAAGAGAGAACTGGGTGAATAAACCTTGACATCATTTTGAAGCAACTGCAAACAAAGAACAAAAACAATGAACGAACAAACAATGAACAAAAAACAATGAACAAAAAACAATGAAGAACATACAAACAATGAGGAAAACAACTAGTTATAAACAGCTTCACAATTGTTAGAAATATCAACGAGTCGACCTCAATTTACTAAAACTTAAAATACCTCAAAATAATGATAATGATTCAACTTTCAGTAAAAATGACGTCATCGTCAAGATTGACGCCATCTTCAAAAATGTCATCATCAGCATCGTCACCGCTGTCATTATTGTCATTCTCTACACGGAGACTCAAAATATTTTTCTTAACTATTTTTCTATTGGCCACTACCCACGTGATCAGTGGCCAGCAGGAAATAATGGAGATAAAGTATCAGATGTACGAGGAACTGGCAGCCGGAAGTTACGTTGGAAATGTTCTTCTGGATTCCAACCTGACCACCGTGCACAGCGCCGATGTAGTCGATCAACTCCACTTCCGGTTCCTCAGGTTCCCTAACTTCCCACAACCACCCCAAACTGTCTTGTCCGAAGATCAAAAAATTGGTAGGTTTGTTGGTGATGATGATGAGGAAGGATGATGCTGATGGTAGGGGTTTAATGATGATGGAGTTAATGGTATGAGATGATGATGGTGATGTAATGCCGAGAGTGATAATGAGGATGATTTAATGATGTTGATGGCGATCCGATGATGGTGATGTTGGTGATAGCAATGATAATTATGCAAGCTGATCTGATGACACTGAAAAAAAATGACACTAACACCACTACATCAACAATGACAATGATACGATGATGATGTTGTTGATGTTATTGCTGCTGATAGTGAATGATGATGGAGAGTAGAAGGAAGATGATGATGACAATGATGATGGTGATGATGACGACGACGATGATGACGTCAACAATGCGAATTTTAATGAAATGGGAACAAATATCGTGAATTGTTTGAAATAATTCAATTGTCTTCCTGGCAGCTTTTCCCAACCTTAATTAACAACATGCCATCAGCTCTATTGTTTGAATTTCTTCTCCACAAAAACAAATCTTAATCAATATTCCCTGAATCATCTGCACCATCTTGTGTCTTCATTCAAATTGCATATACATACTCTTGGCATAGCTTTCTTCTACGTACCCATCATCATTATCATCGTTATTTTCATTATCATTTTTATTCATTCGTCACATTATCATCGCATGGTCATGATGATCAGTCCAATCAGTCATCATCCTGACGTCATCGTTTCTTCGTCCTCACCATCTTCATCATCTTTTTCATCATTGTAAGGACATCGTCATCCTCCTATTTCCATCACCATCTTCATCATCATAAAAACCATGATTGCTATTCAGTAACATCATCATTTTTATTATCATCACCAACCTCATCACCAGTTTTATCTTTATCATCATCACTCTCATCACCTTTATCGCCACCACCACCATCATCATCACCACTATCATCATCACTATCATCATCATCATCATCACCATCATCACGACAGAACAGCCGCAATATTCTCAAGAGGGGTTTTCCCTCTTCCCAAAGAGTGGTGTGTTGAGGACATTTACGAGGATCGATAGGGATGAGCTGTGTCCGACGTCCGATAGTTGCGTCATCAAAATCGACGTGGCGGTCCAGCCGGTCGAGTACTTTCGAATACTCAGAGTATTCGTTACCGTACTCGATATTAATGACAATCCACCGGTTTTTCCGAAACCTCAAGTTAGTTGGTTGTTGGTTGGTTATTGGAAACCATTAGTTTACTGGGGTTGACCGCTGCAACCTTCTGCTGCCCACTGGTTGAAATCACGTCGAATTTGATGATGTTTACAAGATATATTTATGGCAGTTATATTAATAAATTAATATTATTTATAATTTTCATGTTATGTAGTTGAAACATTATTATTGTTGAGAATAATTTCAATACTATCACCTATTTGTAAATAAATTTGTACCGAATGCTAGATAAAATAATAGACAGCAAATATCGCAATAAAGTATGCTGTGGGAAGACAAAACATGCACCTCATCAATGCAACGCAAATTAATACCATACAAAACAATGCATCGCATGCATGTTTGTATAATACCGCTGATACCGTGTACCTCTGCCATCATTTACACAGGTAGTGATTGAGATACTCGAAAGCTTAAGTTCCGGTTCTTTTATACCGATACCGATGGCGTCGGACCTCGACAGTCCTCAGTATTCAATTAAAAAGTACCGAATACTCGCCGGAAGCGAATACTATCGATTGCCTTGGGATTCGAATTATTATAGTTGCATGGATAATTCGACGTTGTTCTTTGATGTTGGAGACAATGGAGGCGAGGAGGTTGGTAGCATGCAGGGGGCCGCTGACAGGAAGAATATCAATGGAAATCAAAATTATCATAGCAGTGACAACAAATATAATATTTACTACAATCCCACTCATGATAATTTCGATAAAAATTACAACAACAACAATAATAATAATTATTATTATAGCCCGAACGAAGTCAGCTACGACCATCACCATCGTCAACACCACCATCATAACCAACTGCAACCGAACTTCGATAGCAACAAAAACAACAACGCCGTCATCAAACCGAGCGAAAAACATCCCATAAAAAATCCATTCAAACTGCAGCTGGTCAACAAGCAGATCTCCGACAAACATACCGACGCTCGACTTGTCCTGACAAGCTCTTTGGATCGGGAACGAATATCGAGTTACCGAATGGTGATCGTGGCCAGTGATGGCGACGAGGACGATGAAGATGTCGGTGAAAACTATGTGAACGATGATGTGCATGAAAATCCATACGTTCATACAGATCTACAAGGCAACAATTATAATCCTGCCAGCCAAACCTTATTAAACCCTGGTAGGCAGGTAAGTAAGAGACGACAGATTCGTAAGAAGCGCCACATTTACTACGCTCCAGGCAGCCAAAGAAACGCCGTCCTGACAGCCACCATTGAGATCGTCATAAATTTGATTGACGTGAACGATAACAATCCGATATTCGAACGGATGTCCTACCAGACGAGTATTCTCGAGAATACGCCAGTCGGTAGTTTCCTCATCAGAGTGCAGGCTCATGATGAGGACAGCGGATTGAATGGAGAAGTTAGTAGAGTTAATGAGTTTATTAATAATGACGTTAGGTTGAAAAATCAATTTCACAAATAAATAATATTGATGAGTACCTATTGCGTTATTACAATTATTTTTCAAATGAAGGTAACGTACGAGTTCAGTTCATTGACGGCTGGTTCGCACGGAAACATCTTCCACCTGAACAGCACTACAGGTGAGATACGGAACAAACAGGTACTCGACTACGAAAAGTCCAACTCTTACTACCTGACCATTGTGGCCCAGGACCGAGGACCTGACCCCAGTCCAGTCACCGTCACCGTGTCCATCTTCATCGAGGACGAAAATGACAACGCCCCTGAGATCTCCATCGTGACCATCTCATCCCAAGTTGGCGTCGGTGAAATTGTCGAGAACTCAGCGCCAGCCACGTTTGTCGCGCAGGTCTCAGTGACTGACAAGGACAACAACGGAAACAATAAAAAATTTGATTGCAGTCTACGATATGCCGATTCCGATCCGTATCTATATTCCGCCGAGGAGGAAAATGATTTTGCCCTCAAAAATCTCCTGGAATCGGAGTTTCAAATTGTTAGTACTCGACCCATAGATCGTGAAGAGAAATCGAAATACCGACTTGAAATTCTCTGCCGAGATTCGCCTACAAAATCTGGACCAACCATTCTCACTGGCACTAATTATTTGAATATTCTCGTTCTAGATGTTAACGATAACTCACCAGTCTTTGATAAGGATTTGTTTGAGAAGGAGTTGTTTGAGAACAACTACGTCGGTGCCGAGCTGTTTGCTCTTTCTGCATTCGATAGGGACTCCGGTCAGAATGCACGGCTTTCTTATGCAATAAAAAATAATTACTGCTACGATGCTGCTCGCTCATCGGTCGATAGCTCCGATACAAACGAGCTTAACAACAATTATAAATGCGATGACGATATTTATGACAACCTCGTGAGCAGTGACAACAAAGAAATGTTCGGCAACAAAACGTCGATCGATAGCCTCATGTCGATCGATTCGGATACCGGCATAATCAAAGCCGTGGTCTCTTTTGATCGTGAATTGATCAGCGAAATAAATTTTCTCGTAATAGTCAGCGATGGAGGCAGCAAGCCAAGAAGTTCCACCGCCAGAGCCCGACTTGTTATAACCGACCTCAATGACGAAAAACCGATATTTGATCGAAACGAATATTCATTTGAAATTTCTGAAAACGAGCCGATCAAATCAATAATTGGGTCAGTTTTAGCGGTGGATAGGGATAGTGGTATCAACGCAGTAGTTCATTACGAAATCGTTTCCAATCACATCACTCACTTGGGTCCGGATGATTCCGGCATATTTCTAAATTTTCCATTCTTTGAAATCGACAAAAATACCGGTTCAATCAGCACATCCCAAGTACTCGATAGAGAAGCTATATCTATGCACCGGTTTATCGTCATGGCAATCGACGGCTGCGTTTTGTCCGCCAAAAGTTCGACAGCATCCGTAAGGGTGAAGGTCCTGGATGTGAACGACAATGCACCAACGTTTGATGTGTTCTCGTCTTTCGTCAACAAAACATATCAAGTGGGTGGGTTGCTTGGTCATTGATTGTTCAGTCGATTTTTTGGGTTGCTTGATTGGTTAATTAATTGATCGATTGATTGATTGATTGATTAATCAATCGATCAATCGATCGATCGATTGATTGATTGATTGTTTGATTAATTGTTTGATTGATGAGTTTATTTATTAAACATTACTTAGCTAGATTATTGATTGAACAATTGGCTGCTTTTGATTTAGTTTTGATTGTCATGCAGTAGTTTTCAAGACAATCAATCATTTAAAACACGGACCAAATTACATTTTCTAAAGTTATTTCATTAAAATATCGACGATTTATTGAAAAGTACATGATATTATTAATGACGTTGACGCACGAACGGCAGATATCAACTCTGTCGCCTGTGGGCCACTTGGTGGCTGAAATAATGGCGACAGACGAGGATTCCGGCGACAACGCCCGCGTGTTGTACGACATCGTTCCGCCTGCCGTCTACTTCAACATCGATGCCGAGGTTGGATCGATCTTCGTTACGAGATCTCTTCTCGATCAGCATGGCGTCTGCTTCGAAGTCGTCGTCAGAGCCAGCGACTGTGGCCACCCATCCCTGTGAGCTGATCAGCGTTTCTTCTCATTGGTTTTATTCATAACTGAATATTAATTGTTGAAAATTTCCAATTAAAGATTATTTTGCCAACCATTGTTGCTACATTAAAAACAAAAGGTATTCACTTGCGTCGATAACGATATGCATCAACGAATCGGTCAAACTCGTAACTCCGTCGATGCGAGATTCGATTCTTTACGGTCCGATAGTGGATGCACATCCCTACCGGAACCTGAGCATCGTCATCGTCCTTGCCGTGGTCTCCACTCTGATCACCATAGCCCTCATTGTTGCCATTTTCATCCTGAAGAAGAAAGATGTGCGCCAGGATAAGTACAACTGCCGGAAGCAGGACGAACTACTGACCGCAGCTTCCTCATTGTCCGCCAACCAAGGTTGGCACCTACCTGTGTTTTCGACTCTCTTTCTCTGTGCTTGTTTTTGTGTGTTTGTGCTCCTTTTTTAACCGCATGTTTGTGGATGTGTGAGTTCGTGCGTGTGTGTATGTGCACGAGTTTTTTAAATTTGTGTTTCAGTGCGTGCATGCGCATGTTTATGTGCCGACAGTTTGTTTACGATTATTATTAATAAAATTTATCTATTCATTATTTTCCATCAATATCAATTAATTGTTTACTTATAACGTTGAAGTCTTTTGAAATTTTCTTCCTTTTATTTTGACCAGCAGTTACAAAAGATCATTGTTTTAGCAAAATGTCTACCAACATCATTATCAATAGTAGCAGCAATGGAAACAACAACAACAACAACAGCAGCAGCAATAACAACAACAACATTAATAACAAAAAGCACGTACCTGTTGCCATCATTGCAAACATCAGCAGCAACAACCACTGCAACAAAAGCAACAACCACCAAGCCGTTAAGCACTGGATGGATAACAGCCACATAAACGATTGTAGTAACTTCTACTTTTGCAACAACAACATCAACAACAGCATCAACAACAGCACTAACAACAACATCAACAGCAAAAATACAGACATAAAATCCGACAACAACATTGACAACAAATATGCAATGAACCATCTCAACGCCGAGATTTTACCGCAACCACCAGCAGCAGCAGCAGCAATGCCATCGACCACACTAGCCACCATCACAAAAACTGTTAACGCTACTTCATTTGTTACACAAGTGACTACATAATGTTTCTTTTATACGAATTACATTTCGATTTCATTCATTTAGCAAATATTTGGTTTAAAGTGTTAACTCCTCATTAGTCAATATTAGCAGTGGGACTGATTTAGAAATTTAAAACTTGAGGCGCATGGATCCGGTTCCGTTCGCATTGCATGTGTTTTAAAATTAAGTTTGGCTTCAAAATTCGATGTGGCTGTTTTGTTAGCCAAAACTTCATCTCACTGGCCGAATTCAATAATTACTCTATAATACTAAATTAAAAGACTGATCAGTATTAAAAGTAGTGTAACAATTTTCAAGCAAAGTTTCAAAAAAGATTCTCTATTCAAATTAACTCTACTTGAAGTTTTAATGTTATAAATGTTGACAGTCAATAATCACACCACCTGGCAATTTTTATACAAAGATCACCATTATATACTATCATCGTTATACTTTTTTGTCATCATCATTTCAGAACGGGACCTCATCGATCCTTGGCCCTCAGCAGATGACCTTGAGACAGCACGAACCTTCACCTTCACGGCATGAACAGGTGCCAGCCGACCAGCAATATTCACCTCGATTGCATCATCACCACCACCACCATCATCTTCACCATCCACTTACTCATCATCAACATCTCACTTATCTTAATCATTATCATCACAATCATCATAATCCATCGTCTTCCACGTCAAGTCGCAACGGTGGCGACGACGATGACGACAATGACGCGTTGAATCATCGCTACCATCAACCGCAGAAACAATCACTCAACATTTACAACAACCCACTAGCTGAACAGTTGTTGCAACAACATCATCAGCAGCAACAGCAGCAACAACAACAACATCAGCAACTAAACCAACCACATTCTCAACAAATCCAACAGCAAAAGCATCTACAGCAACTTCAACAACCACAACAACCGCAACAAAATCATCACCAACAACAACAACAGCAACAACAACCACATTATATAAACACCAGTGAAAATCCCAAAAACTGTTTATACAACAACTTATTAAAATAAGACTAAGCGCACACAAACAAGCTATCGTTTAACCATGTTTTGTGCATGTTTAAAATCATTGTTTATACGTATGTTGTTATTTAATATGTGCATGTTTGTATGTTTATTTGTATATTTTTGTTTGTATGTTCATGTGCATATTTTTGTTTGTACTTATGTGTTTATGTTTATACTGCTAAGTGAATGTTTATAAACGTCTTGTTGTTTTTCCTATCTAGAACTTATGCAAAAGTTTGTATGTCGATACGAAATCACGTATCTGGGCACGTCATGATGATACCAAAAACATTTATAAATATACATTATTTACAATATTCATCATACAATATCCATGATACAATATCCATGATACATAATCCATGATACAATATCCAGGATACATTATCCATGATACAATATCCATGATACAACATCCATTATATAATATCCATGATACAATATCCATGATACAATATTCATGATACAATATCCATGCAACTCAGCAATATATCCTTTAATATAATTTATGTTAGTGATCTGATTTTGAAATCTGAAAAAGTCCTATCATAAGCCAACAGAGCAGTATAAAAATAATGATACCGATTTACTAACTACAGTAACTTTACTAGTTTATATATTTAAATATCTGTGTTGTGTGTGTGTGTGTGTGGTGTTTGTGTGGTGTGTGTGTGGTGTGTGTGTGTAAACTTAGAATATTAGTTTTTTTCGAATTCGCATTTCGCATTGTATATTTCTATTTCTATATATATATATATATATATATATATATATATATATATATATATATATGTTGGTAATAGACCATAATTTTTACAATATTCTATAAATTCTACCGAATGATTGGCGTTAATATGTTTGTAGTTCATCGATTGTTACATTACGTCGGTTGGTCGCAGAACTTCGAGTAAATGTTGGTAATAGACCATAATTCTTACAATATTCTATAAA